GACCAGCACCCACTGCAAACGTCTCCAATGCATACTTACCTTGTTACGTCTGTATGAAAAAGTTCCAGGATATATGGGCAAAGTGCCAATTTCGCACCCCTCACCCTGTGTGCTGGAGGGAATTGCAGTCTGCTGACCATTCGAAGCTTTATTCGGACTGAAATTGAAAGGCCAACTCGCGATCATTCGCCATCACAGATAGTGGATTAGGGGTTTGCATATAGACGACAAGGTGCTGAGTAACTCGATAGTGAAGAAAAAAAGCAGAAAAAAAACTTGTCAACTGTCCTAGTTAAAACCCTATTTTGATTCCAGCTAGTGCCCTATTCACTCCATTTCCAATACTACGCCTCCATCCGCACAGCTGATTCCCCGATAAGAACTCTACGACCGTACAAGTGACGATTTTCATGCTTTTTCGTCCTGCAGCTTCGTTTTTCACTGAAAGGCGGGCCTTGAAGGCGGAGTCTGGAGGCGGAGTCACTGGAAAAAGGAGGCGTCACTGAACCTATATTGCGCTATAGCGCCCCTCCCTTACAATTTTTTTTGCCGCAAACCGGTACAATGTTGTTCATCGCGGACTACCCTCCCGACGCTATTTTCTATACCTGATCGCGGACCGTGCCTTTAAAGGCAAGTGGCATGATAAATCCACAAGGCGTGTAGGGTAAATACGTCAAATACGAAGGAATATTTTGCCCCTGAGTAGGCGCTGCAAGGCACCTTTCCAACGCAAGTGCCTTTACGCGCTCTATCGAGCTGCAACATGCCGACCCAGACGCCCACCGCAACTTCCCGCCCACAAATGGCTGGACAGTCACATCGACGCTTATACTCTTATCGCTTCATTTATGAAGTACAACTGATGTGATGCGTCACTACTTGGATACGCCAACAGGAAATTCGCCCAAAAGTGTTCGTCCAATGCCGTGCAGAACAAAGATTTTTCCGCAGGTTTCTAGCAGTTTACCTTCGCTTTTTCGACACTTCCCAATTGCATCGCTGTTACTATTCTCGAGTAAGTACCAAATTATCGTGCCTGATACCCTCAAAGTTCTATGGATGAACGCTTCGCTCACAGTTTCATCAGTGCAATTGAAAGTCGTTTTCAGGCTTAATATGGGTGGAGATCAAGCAACTGTGGGACTGTGGCCTCCACGATTACTGTCATAATTTATGGAACATTCTCGACTTTATCACGAACGCACTCTACCTCTCCACGATGGCTCTGCGTACTGTCGCTTACTATCAGGTTTTGATCTTATTTTCAAAGAATTATTTCGGATTTTGGAGATAAACATTCCAGTTTGAAGGCAAAGGTGGTTGAGGAGGGCTACGTAGTGGCGCGACTATGTCACGTAATGTCTGCTGTCTGCGCCCTCTCACTGAATAGGAAAGTGGGCCATATGCCCATTCGGAGGCTTTGAAAAGGCAAAGACAGCCAGGCAGACCACGTCCTACTGTTGGAAAAATCGCGAACTACGACCCCTCAGAATTTCCTCCTCTGCTACAATTCTCCCTACTCTCCCCCTCCCTACCCTTCTCCTACCTACCATCTTCCTATATTCTCCCAGCTTCCCACCACTTTTCATGTTTTTCCACGTTTTCTCAGAAAAAAAACCGCAGTTCGAGCGGGTGGGGGATCGCGCCGTGAAGCAGGAAAAACCGGGGAAAGCCATCAACCGAAATTCCTTCTCAAAGGCAAATACGATGTCCTGCCTCCCTTTAACGACCAAATACCACCTCCCCGCTGGGGGACTCCAAGGCGCGCCCTGTAGGCAGGACGTGGCGAGGTACAGTCGAGCCACCGCATGATTCCTTCCAACTGCGTTTGCCCTTCTATTTTTACGTTGAAAGCAGTGCATACTAGGCAGATTGCCTTGGCTTTCAGGTCAGTCAGGAGATGAAAGATCCACGAACGCAGCACATTGGCCGACTTCTTCAACGGTAACCTCCATTTCGCCATTTAGTTTGAGTTCGAAGTTGTATGTTCCGAATGTTTCAGGAAAGACTGGGATGCATGGGATCCGACGTTGGTCAGCGAATCCGTGTTCGCCACGGCCAATATCTTCTCGTCGTTGAAACTCGTGCACATCTTCACCGTCAATCCGTACCTTGGACCATTGAAGATATCATTAGGTGAGAGTGTGAAAACTCGTTCGAGAAATAGAGAAATGTTAAATGTGTGATTGCTGTAAGACTACGGTACAGAATCCAAGCTACAGTCAAAACCCTGGGATGCGGTAGGCGGGGCCGTTCACTTGAATTGCACGTGGCGGCGGCTGGGCCTTTTGTAAGTTATTTGGATTTCGGGGCAGTTGTGGTCACGTCTGTCTAAGACAGAACACGAACAAAGAACACAGGTTGACGGTTATCCCAAGTTGAAATATCCTTTAAGTAATCCACTCTATGCCATCTTCAAATGCCGCGCCTACTCCGTTCCAGGGATAAGGAGGATATGAGGCAACCGTAGCGTGCGGTGCGACATCAGGTCTCACCTGGGCTCAAGAATTTCGCCTATAACGTAGCAACGAATCTGCGCAGCCATTGGTAAGCATGTCCTAAATGGTGGAAATACGGATTTATTTTGTTCAGCCTCGTCAGGATCCCTCGAGACCGCTTCTCTTGGTAAAGACACCATTTAAGGCCTGCTTAGAGGCGCGGTGTTCTTCCATGATCGGCCTCTTGCACGCCTAGGGGATTTGTCAGGCCCTTCACCTTTCTGAGCTTGATCAATGTCCGAGTCAGATTTTTTTAATCATCCCAGACAAGTTTGGTCTACCAAACTGACAGTGTGGGGATGACAACTTGCACGGGTCGGTCGGGATCCGATCGGGATTTGTCCCCCGCTGCTAAACTGGCGCCACCGCCATCGAGAGGCCGAAGGCTCTGCTACTAGTCAGAGTGACTGAACCAGATAAAGCAGCTAATGTGGTTGAGCTGGATCGATTGCTCTAGATCGCGCCATGCATTCAGTTCCTCTTTGAAGG